CAATACTAAATCCGCAAAGCGTTGAGCATAGATGATGTAGCGATTTATTCCCGTAGTCTATTGCAGCTGATGTCATTTACCGGTATGTTGCAGGTCTTTGCAATAGCATTCCTGGTTTTTGTAAACTGCATGTCGTCCTGTATGTTAAGGACAATAGCGTTTTTAGCACTTTTGCATCTTTCATTTATCTCAGTTGCAACAGAATTCAAGAAGTTCATTGCCAGACTCATGTGCCTGTGCTTGGCTGGAGACTTTGTAGGTTATGCCCTTTTTGGGCACCAGCGCCTGATTTCCAGTCATCTTGTAATCAGATCTGCTGTCTAAATTGTCTCTGGTGCTGAGTTACCCGCAGTGTAGGAGCTGGTGAGGTGGTGATAACTGCACTGAAGGCGTTTCACTGATGGCTTCTTATGTTTGCATGGTAAACAGCGGTTTGCGACCCTAAGTTACTGCTAACATTTAGGCGCCTTGGCGCTGTACGTTTTCCAAGGGTATTTAAGTTTTACTTTATATCCCCCTTCTTTCCCTCATTATTCTTCGTTCTTCAGGTCTTTCTGGGTGTATGGCAGCGAAACATCCGTTCGACTTACTTTGTGCTGTTGTTGATGATGATGATGATGCTCATGCAACACATTGTTGGCTGGGTCCTCATGGTGGTCGGGGACAGCATGGTAAGATGACATGAAGAGATTGGCTGTAGAGCTACTTCGCATCTGTGTGCTTTCTACCTGGATAGGGATCTCAGAATCTGTCTCCTTGAATTTGTCTTTTCTTTCGCAATCCTCACCCCCACTGTACTTTTTAGCGTCGTCACTGTTCGTGTCTAGACAACCGAGTCCACCATAATCCGCCACTTGAATCGTGGTTTATCAGCCGGTTGAGACAATCCTCCGTTATGTGTGGCGCGGTCTCCACTAAAATGCTTAACCTCATTCCATCCGTTCTATATGTTCTTCGCCGGTCAGTCGAGGAACATCAGCTCGTCGAAATAACATTTCGCCATGTACTAAGGTGCCCCGTACATAAATCGGCGCGGTTCTCGACTTTTCATGTGAGCAAAGTTTTGCGGACGAGTATAGCGACTTGCATGCGACTTCTTAACTCCAAACAGCGCTTATCGCAACTAAAAATAGTTCACCTAAAATGATCTACGTCAGTAGAGCAAACGTATTTGTTGCACGCGCCAGCTTAAACAGCGTGTGTGTGTGTGCGCGCGCTCGGTAGATCATTTATAGGAACAATTCAACCGACCTATATCGTCCTATTTGATTCTCAACTCGCTTGAACGTATCTAATCATTCATAAATCACCTCCTACTTTCTAGGGTAGCCAACTTTAATTGACACTAGACCAAGAAATCTGAATCCCACAATTTTATTCCATGGTATACTGAACAACTTCAACGCATCTCTAGCGATGTTAATTTTACTCCTCTGTTCACAAACATGCCTTCACATTGGCATCCATCATTCGCTACCCTGTTAGTGTAAGAGAGCCGTCGAACCTCACTCGCGAACCGTCGAGGCGTTATGCTTGTTGACATTGTTTCCGAAGTTCTCATGATCGTCCTGTTTCAGCGCCTGCCGATCCCGAAAGGATTCGATTGAAGGTAGATTGTTTTTCCGTCCCGGTGAAGGATAGATTGACCATGTATTCATTATCAACAGAGTTCTAGAATTGCGCCATGATTCTTCTGTCTACGTTAAAGATCATTTTTGAATCGACTGTTGACTCTTGCTTGTGGTGCTACTGGTTGCTGAGTGGCACGCTAGCGAAATTTTTTTCCCTTTTTCTTATCGGTTTAATTACACTCTTTCAGGAGTCCACGGAAGTTCTCTTGCAATCTTACTGCCTAATTTCTGTGTAACTTGAAAATCAACTTAGTCATTTATATTTCTGTCTTGTCTAATTGTTTATTTTGATTTATGTATGCGATCTGGGTAGGCAACTGCCCATATACGCAACTTTTCCGGAAAACTTGCTAAAGAAAGTACTATTTCGATGCACGTTAAATGTTCGGTTTATCTTCAATGATGAAATGTACCGTCCGATTGATAGTAGACATGGGTTCCTTTTTGAAGCCACTACCTTCTCATATCTTTATGGCGCAATTGAAACATGGTCCACTTAAGACGCATCTCGTTGGGACTGAAATGTACATACAGTATGTTGACGGTACCTTCATACTTTGCGAATCCGAAAAGCGTGCGACACAGTTGTTGATAGCTTTTAACGAGTCACACGCTAATCTCCAACTCATCTGTGAACACGCGTTCGGAAAACGGTCACCTTTCCTGAATGTAAAAGTTATCTGTGACTAGGACGGATCTTTCAGCAGAAAGGTATACGGAAAACATACATGAACTGAACAATACATTACCTTCAACAGCGCAATACCTTCACATCATACGAGGAGTTTAATCCGATCTTATCTTCAGGGTGCACAGTATCATCAACGAAGAACTACAGTGAATCACGACACCCTGAAAGAAACTGGCTATCCTGACAAATTTATCATGAGGCATTTAAACCAACGCAAACGAAAGCCTCCCAGAAGCATTGTTGCAGAGAAAGAGCTTTCCATACATCTACCATTTCAGACAGGTGCTGCGGCTGATATACTATATCAACTCCTGGAAAGTGCTGTTGAGAAAACTTATTTCCTAGCCTGCTTGAAAATTGTTTACCACAACAAGCCATTGCTTGCAGAGCCCTTGATAGAGTCTACCCCCGTTGACTAGTTCACTGATCGTTTATCAGTACTCTTGTTCCTGCGCTTCACGATACGTGGGTCTCACTACGAGGCGCCCGTCTCAGTGGATTCACGTGCACACCCTGGCATGTTTTACAAAGGCGAAATGAGGTACTCAAACAGTTTAATTACGCCGCACCTCCTTGATTTCGGCCAAACAGCTTCTGAGAATGACTTAAATGTCATCCACTCACTGCCTGAACGCTTCTCGCAAGGCTTCCGAAAGCAACTCTTGTTCATCACCGAGGCCATTTACATCCATCATCTGAAGCCGGAATTATGAGCAAAAAGCGATTCCTATGGCCGATACTACTACCGTGACCAACAGACACTGTCACTTAGCTGTCTGGCTGTTATAATAGCTATTGACTTCGGACTATGGAGGTTTACGCATTAATGTTCCTTTATTTTACCTGACTTACCATAAATGGCCCAGTTATCGATTTGACCGTTCAAATAACTTAGGAGTCAATCCCCAGCCCGAATTGACGATTATCATACCAAATCAATGTTATGCAAACGTTTGGGTCTGATCAGTGTTTGCCGAAAAGAATTCTTAACCACGCGCTAATTTACGATCTTTATGCTTGTTAGTGAAATGCGAATGTTTGCTTTGCTGAAGACCGGCATTAATCGTGATTCACTGAAGTTTTTTTCCAAATGACCGACCGACGGAGTTCGAGTGTAGGGATAGTACAGCACCGGTTAAAATGGCCTTAACTTTTCCAATTGCACAGTACTTTTGTAGCAATCCGTTTGTTTTTCTAAGCGTCCATTTAGTAGTTTACGCTTAGATATGGTCCCGGTAGCTCCTCAGAGCTTTATTCATCTATGAATTGGCGCCATATCAACCCATTTGTCGACGCTACAATGATACCAATATAACTGTTGGGATCAGAGATGTTGTCACTGTCCTGTTGCGATATAGAGAGACTAGTTGTTTTCAATCAACGGTGTCTACCTATTGTTGTCTCCATCCGGCTTGGCACCGACTGTGTAATACTGAGGTTCACCGATAACAGACCTTACGGTACCCCACTGGACTGTCCGTTGAACTCACGCTGCATACTTTGATAGTGTCATGTTCTCTGCGCACTTGTCCACCGCTTACCTCAACGTTTGTCTTTCTACACCGCAGTTAGTTTGATGAAACATCATGGTTATCGATCCGTGGTACATTAGTATGGTATGGGGATAGTAACCTAAGGACCTTGTTATGGAAATTTGGTCTCTCCAGTTCGAAAATACCGCACTCCAAAATGCGCTTTGATCTTGATCTCATCAGCTGGAGATAGTAGGTCTCGAACCTGGTACTATTGTAGAGCTCCAAATTAACCTAATGCGATAAAATGAGCTCGAAACGCGTCGCGAAACGCAGTATTTTGGAGTGAGCTACCTATATTCCTTCTGCTTCATCTACGGTCCTAGTGATAGAATTGACTAGACTTCACTTCAAAGTAAATCGCGAATTACGCGTCGCAGTCCAAGTACTCACAACAAATGCTTCAAATTGGCCCCCACTCAGTCAGCAACTGATATGTATAGGTGTTGCCCGTCGAGTGTCCGTGCCTTCGGATGGCATCCCGAACTCGAGTCACAATCTTGCAATCTCTACCTAACCAGTACACATAAGAGTACGAATCTGGTTGCGGAATGCGGTGTCGCACGAGCAGGGGCAACAACTAACATTCATCTGCATCCGCAAGGTTTAACTTTTCCTATTTTTGTCGTTCTGAATACTGTATTATAGAGCAAGTAGAAATGGATTCTGTTCTGCTGAAACATCCAGACGAAATGGCCTCTGGCTTCTTCAGTACATGGAATGAGATCGTTTTTCTCGTTTCTACCACCTTAGTTGTTCGATTAAATAAGTCAGCCGAATATTTTAACTTTACTGAGGTGCCACTTGTAACTCGCAAGATCGCACACACAGTAAAGACACAACTCGCCTACGACCAAGCAGAAGCATGAGTTACAATGTGACCGAGGCCAGTAGCACTTCGCAGTTGGCATACATTAGTATAATGCCATCTGTATGATACAACTCGACCAGTCCCCGCCGAATGCGGCTCTGCTACTTCCGACACTAGACGACATGAAGATGGTCTTCGTACCTAGGTTTTCCATATCATTTACCAGAAACCAGGTCCATTTTGTTCCTAGTTGCTGATTCATGTTAAAACAAACTCTGATTAACGATACCTGACGACATCATCACTCCGCACTTTTATTATTGCCTTTCTTTTAGATTCCTGTTGGCCAGCTTCTATACCCAGTACGACCCGCTGCATTGTTTGGTCAACGCCTCTTCCCTTGTATTCTTGGGCGTGCTGCCAAAACTGCCCCAATTTTATGGCGTACGAATTTTCGGTATCAATCGCTGGTAGCCGTCCTCTCGACATGGTCTTGCTCATTATTGCGCATATCACGTGGCATTTGCGGTAGTCCAACCCTCCTCTTTTCAGAGTGTTCGCACGTGGTTTCCACCCCCATCCTCCTTCCATTTCGCTATGCCTCCGCTCCACCCACAGTCTTTAGCCAGCTGTGATCAGATATCGAGCGATCAACTGTTCACTTCACCTCCGTCCTCAGTTCTCCAACTTGTGTCATCGGGCCGCCATTTTGTACTTTAGGCCAATGTATTGCCTCTCCCCGGTTCTTCGTTCAGATCCAACTCCTCCAGCCTGCACATCGATGCTGTGTTTGCGCCATTGTCCTCCGTGTCCATGTTTTGCATCCACTGTGTCTGTGCTTCCTATATCGGTCTTGAGCGACTTGCTTCCTCATATCGGTGCCTCATTTTTTTATCATGTACACGTGTTCCTGTTTGGTTCCATAAATACTCACCTGTTTTTCTACTGTCTGGTGGCTTGTTTGTTCCGGTTGTTCGTTATTATTACTGCAGTTGGTTTTGCTAGCGCCAACCAGCGCGATTCCCCTGTTGTTAACTAGTAGTGTGACACGTAGTTGCAAGGTGCAAGTACACTTACCCCGAAGATGACTATTTCCTTGCAGAGGTAAGTTGGGCGAAAACGTTTAACTGAAGCTTCTGTCACCTCCAAACTTCAGGATCACCACATGAGACCTGGTTTAATTTCACGATTGGCTGAATCCCTTATTTTTGATGATCCATCAAACTGTTTAAAAGCTGGATTTCCATCTTGGCTTATGGTCTCTTTCTAGTATTTTCTTGTTTAGGCGACCGTTCTTTGTATATGTACGTATATCAGATCAATTTTCCTATCTCGGGACCTTAGTCGAGTTATCTAGTGACCGAAGGTCCGAACACCAGCAACAGCTAAAAGTATAAAGACAGTCCGCTTTCCCGAAAAGATATTCGCCATATTGGTACTGCAGCAGTAATCTGATGGGTGTAATTGGGTCGTTTTTGGAAACTGGCGCGTCATTTCAGTTTATGGTCCTGCGTGACGCTTCTTTGCGCCATACCTAAGTCTGTTCCGTCCACGTTCTTTCATACACCTTTTCGAATTTCATTATGATGTAGCTTCCTAATATGCTGTCGATGTGTACTTGCAACTCCGAACGGATTTTCCCGACTGGCGTCCGAAGGATGATGAACACGTTTGACTTGATACACCTGCTGATATAGTGAGGAGCCTGCCCTAATGACGTTTGTGTTGTGAGCCTCTTTGTTCCTTCCTTCCTCTTTATCTTCCCCCTTCAACAACCATCTCAAATCCTATGCATAATGTGGTTTTTAGCGTCATGTTACCTTTTTAACTTTGTCATCATCATCGTTATACACGTTAGCTAGAGGTGGGAAACACCTCAGCTACTGTGCCGCAATACATAGAAAAAAGGAGAAAAAGACGCAACAGGTGCAAATCAGCTGAGCTACCGGTAACGGATGGGTATCGTTCCGGTAACCTACCAGCGGGCTACTATGCAGCAAAAAAGTAATTATACAAAATTATATAAATCTAAATAGTGAGATAGTAGTTGGAGAGGGAGGCTAAGAGGCATGGTGTGGGACAAAGAAACTCGCAGCAAGAACGTCACTGAGGTCGGCATCTAGCCATATCAGCAAACAACGCACGTCGCGGGAGTTGGTGGGCTGGCATGCGTAACACCTGGCTGAGCCATCGGAGCCTGGTGTGTGAAATAACGGTGCTGAGCGGTTCATTTCCTTTTCCTGTGCCGTAAACAAGGCGTCGAACACGCTCGTTGCTTACCCGGTGTTCCCACCACCTGTGAGCTAAATTGCGAAGGCACTGGTGATCAAACGTAGCTAGCCTCTTTATGTTCATTGATCTAAGGTGCCAGATTTTACAACCGTACAGTAGGGTCGAATGTATCGCTGCATTGTACACTCTACCCTTCAGTGAGAGATGGATGTCGCGCCGGCATCATAAGTGGCGAAGGTTAACAAAAGCGTATCGAACTTGTTATACGGTTCCTGATCTCATCTTCGATCCCAAGGGCGCTGATACAACTTCCTAGGTAGTTGAATGTTTGAACGACTTCTAGCTGATCCCCACCAAGGGTCAGCATAGGAGGCGGTCCAGGCCAACCTTGAAGGAACGCTTTGCACTTCGAGGGTGCGAAGCAAAGCCCGAAGTGACGGACAGCCAGTGCTAATCTGTCCATTGCAGCTTGGCACGTTTGTAAGCTGTCACAGATTAGGGCAGTATCGTCAGCATAATCCAAGTCAAGAAGTTGTTCTCCTGGGAGCAGATCCATATATATATATATATATATATATATATATATATATATATATATATATATATATATATATATATATATATATATATATATGGATTGCAACAGTCTGCGAATAGACATTGAGCCATCGGAAACCATGGAACTCAAAACAAGGTGCAGAAATAGTAAAAGAAAACACAACACATCAAAATCCATGGTTTCATCAGATGGCGAGATACTACCAGGTTGCCCAAGCCGAAGTAGAGTGTTGACTTAGGGGACACCACCCCGAGCCTTTGGCTGAATAGCCTGCCCGGAAGGCAGCGGAGCGAATTCAAGGAATCGCGCCCATTGGGAGCCGGTGACTGATTGCTCAGTTCATACGTCTTTCGTTTGGTCCTTTGTCAAACAGGGGCCCAGTGCTCCCCAAAATTACAGCATAAACTTGCTGGAGTACAATGCATCGCCAGGATGAAGCAAGAGGCAGTGACTTTATTTAATGGCGAGTCACGTCCGCCACGTCACAGTGTTCTTAAACGGACATATGTGGATTTTTATAGGGAGAACGCTTGCCAGACCAAAACCAACCACGTCCTGGAACACTGCCGCCGAACGATTTGCTGGAACGGGAAAATCCCGAACCACCCAGCTGGCACCACGAGGAGGTTTTTCGGTAAGCCAACCAGCAGATCCACACCTTCTAAGTCGTGTCCTGTAGACGCGATTTCCATTACTTCATCAACAGCGAAGTTAAAAATAAAAGGTGACAACGAGCATCCTTGTCTCACATCGCCGGAGATATTAAAGGGCGACGACAGATTGCCGTAAGCACTCACTCTGCCTGAGCTACGCGAGTATAATGCTCGAATAATGTTTACATATTTCTCAGGTACACCTTTCCTGAGTAGACAGTCCAAAAGTGCACGTCTATCCACCGAACCGAATGCACCTTTGATATCGAGGAACACGACAACCGTGGGCCGCCAATATATGTGACGGTGCTCCAACAACTGACGCAAAGTGAAGATGTGGTCAATGCAACCACGACCTCGACGAAACCCGGTTTGCTCTTCACGAATATGGCTTTCACAAGTGATAGTAAGTCTGTGAAGGATGACAGATGCATGCAATTTGGAGGCGATGGAGATCAGACTGATTCCTCTATGGTTGCCGCATTCCGATCGTGAGTCTCCCTTGAAAATCGGGACTATGACGGAGCGGCTCCAGTCGGTTGAGACAGTTTCCTGCTCCCACAGTTTCACTAGTAACTCGTGTAAATCATCCACAAGAGCAGGCCCCCGAATTTGAAGAGGGCTGGAGGAAGATCATCTGGTCCCGCGGGCTTCTTTAACTTCAATAGTCTGATATCACCTTCGAGCGAGAGGCACAGCTCACGGAGCGGGGCGGTCAATGGCCGATGAAAAATCTAACAATCCCAACCGATTAAACTGACTTTCAAAGTGTTCAGCCCAACGCTCCAAGCGTTTTGACAAGTTGTGGATAGGCTGTTCACTCGTTACGTCTGGTTACACTAACACCAGGTTTCCTACTGCTCGTTTCCCGTATCAGCTGGAGTAACTTATAATGGTTACCAAGGGCAGCGGCCATTTCCATCTCTGATGCACGAAGAGACCACCAGGATTCGCGGTCTCTCCAGACTACTACGTTTTGCTCGGAGCTCTTTGCGAGTTTCAGTGTGTTCGCTTCCGGCCTTAATATTCCGGCGAGCATCGATAAGTTCCAGAGACTACGAAGAGACCCAATGCCCATGTTGGCTACTAGACTTACCACATGAAGATTTGCCTGCTGCTAGTAAGGTCTGGTGAATATGACGCCAGTGAGCGCTTACTCAACTCGTATGACAGCGTACTTTGATAGGCATTCAGAACAGCTGGCTTCGCCAGTTGACTGGTGTCAATGCGCTCACACCGTCGTGGGCGTCAGCCATAGCGCATCCGCAGGTCAACACATACAAGTGCATGGTCGGTGTCTACACATGTGCCCCAAATCGAGCGACAGTTCTGGACGCAACCTCTCCAGCGGTAACTGATAGCAATGTGATCGATTTGCGTCCATAGCTGATTCGAGGCTGGTGAGTGCCAATGGCGATAGAAGTCGTCTTCTAGCGAGTCATCGCTATAGTTTGTCAGTGCATTGGCAGTGATAACGAATAGACACCTGTTTGTCCCGTGCGTCTTGGAAGCTTTGAACAAGCCAGCGAATCGGACCGCACACATTCGGCTACTGATTGGGATCCAATCCACCAGGGTAGCTTAAGCCCCGGGACTCAGGGTAATACCTACATCGGCTTGGCCGGTACTCGAAGCTACCTCGTTACCGGATAGGCGCAATGAGAAAGTGATGCTAGTGTCACCTGTGGGGGATCGCAAAGTGAGCAGACAACTCGAATCTTTCATGCGTGTCTCCGCTAAGCAGCAGCCATCGATGGAAAGGATCTCTCATGTTCGGGCAAGTGCTGCCTGTTGACCGATCTGTAGCAATGTGCGTACATCGAGGCATACCACTCTGAAAGAGGATCGAGGGCTCCAAATGGAAGCTGATGCACTGGACTTGACCGCTTGCTTAGACATGAGACAATCTTTTTGCTCATCCAGTGTCTCCGGCATACAGTTTCTAGCGGTACGACAATACAAGCAACGAGGTAACTTTTGTTTGTGCTGCAAAGCCTAAGTGAGTGTATTGGACGACACAAAAAAGCCAGCCACGTGTAGCTCCTTACACAGTGCCCCAAACTGCTTATCGACGGCAATGAATTACAATCTACTACATCGGTGGAGAGCACCTAGGGGTGGTACTGAACTATGGTTTACCTTGGACTCCTCATGTCATTCTACGCCTGTCATCTTAGAGCCTCCCCTGTCCCTCTTGTGTTGATATTTCGCTTTGTCAGTGCTTGTGTCCTTCCCCACTTGTGATTTTTCCCGGTCTTCTGGGTAAGCACTTTAGGCTAGTTGTCAGGTCATTAAGGCGTTCCGATGCCTACTTTTGTCACTATCTTCTGTCTACACACACCAATTCTTGTAGGAGTCTGACAACTAAGATACTAGCCGATACAACCCATTCCCCTCATGATGCGTTATTAAAGTGTATGTCAACTTAGTTTGCTAGGCAAAAGAACAAGTTGATATATGCTCGCGCACAAGCCTACCACTCGTCGGGCCTTCCTTATCTTTCACGTTTTCTGCGTAACCCCAACTCTGCCGTTCTAGA